GTGAATAATTTGTGCTACAAACTCTAAAAAATATTTTATCTGAACATGTCAAAATATCACAAAAAATATATAAAAAAAAATTATTAAAAAAAATTGAATCTGATACTAAGGAAGGCAAGTTTTAGTTCAGTTTCATTTAGACTAACATCAGTGACTTGCTGAGGTTCATATTCACAGGAACATATTTGTCCTGGTGCTTTAATCAAAGGTTGTCTATCAAAATGTAGTTTTCAAATACTTGAATAGTTTCTACTTACTTGCATCGTGTTTCTAAAAAACAAAAACTGAAAACAATTTTTAGCCTTACCTTTACTTAGATGAAGTCTCTCGGTTTCCTTCACCTCAGCATTGTTGACGCTAATGTTTAGTGTCCGTTTTTCATCCACTGCCAAATCGGTCCATGAATTTCCAAAAGTTTTTAAATAAATCTGTCTTTGAATGTGCGTGGCTGATCTCTCATGTTGGCTAAGACTTCTTTGCTAATGTTTCAGTTCAGATTATCCGGAGTTAGTCCAGACGTCATCACTCGATGAGAACAAGAGGTAAGGAAAGCAGTAAAGGAGGTTTCTTACAGGACAGCCACACAGACAGTCTTTTCGTTTGTACCAGTCAGTACAGTTTTAAGAAACGTTTCTGTCTTGAAATACAATCCATAGTCAGCTGGATCAGGCAGAGCTGTTCTTGACCTACTACTGGCTCTCGCTTTGCGCCGACTGTTGATTGCCTGTTGACGCCAGCTGGAGAGCATCTGGCAGTTCACGTACGACCCCTTGAGGTGAGACAGAGTACTGCATATATCTTCTGCTGACTTTTCTCTGCACTTCTTATACGACCAGCAGGAACAAGTATCTCGCACATGCAATAAAGACATTGCACAGATTGTAGAGAGTCCTGCTGTATAACAGATATATCTGTAAAGTTGATATTGGTGATATGTTGAGGAACAGAAACGTTCGTCATGTGACCCAGTTTGTATTGGTCAGATATGGGGTGCTGCTCTCTGATTTTTGCTTAATAAAATGTCAAAAATGTGTGGAGTCATACTGAAAATGCGAAATTCGGCGATTTTAACTTAATAAAATGTCAAAAATGTGTAGTCATACTGAAAATGCATCTTTAACACAGATCATTGGAAAATATCAATATGTATCTGCTTTGACCTGCAGGTGGCCATTTTAATGGCACAGAATGTGAAATTAATGTAAATACAGGAATCTGAGTATTTATTTCGAATAGAATTTTCACAGTGTTTGCATTTTACCCTGATTGTGTGATTTACTAAAACACTTTTTAAAAATTGTGTTTAAAACATATATATATGTGTATCTGTACATTCTTATTTTTTTTAAGATTCTTAATTCTTTTTTCGAGAATTTTCTTTTCTTTCAAGTTTTGCAGTTTCTCCAAAATATTATTTTGTTTTTTCTTCTGTTTTAATGAAATATCTTTTTGTTTACAAATATATTTGATTTAGATTTTTTTCACTAAGCAACAATTTTAGCAAACGTCTCCGATGCCTCATCCTACAATGCTTTTAATCTAAAAGATTTTTTCAAACTCAGGTTTAGCTCTACATTTCACTGCAGCGATGAAACATTCGGGATCATCGGGTGAATTCCAACTTAGCCTGTGGCAAATTCTGACCCCTACAGGTGATTATATCACAGAACGATTGACAGCATCAGTTGCAGCAGGTCATTTTACAGCAGCTTAGTAAACAGTGCGATGTGTTTTATGTCCCCGGGGGTGAAGGGATTTTTAGGGGTTAGAGCAGAACCGGCTCAGAACGACGGTCTACAAAATAACAAGTAAATGTGATTTAAATCTGTAAAACACAAATCTGAAGAGAATTAAAGGCGTGTTGAAGACCTGTGTGTTGGTGAGACGACTCCGGCTCCACTGTCAAAAACTGAATTGTCTTATAATACTGTGTATGAAGTGTTAAAGCTGTAGAAGAGCTCCTCTTATCTCCTGTGTGGATTATATTCTTACAGCTAAATTGCTTTCTTATCTTTGTCACTGTCTCTCTTGAGATGACATTTAATTTTTTTCAGACTCTCTTCATCTGTTTGTCATCTCACTCTGGTTGTTTTTTCCCGTCAGACTCTAACTCTGTTTGTTTTTGTTCTCTCTTCTTCAACACCTTATGTCTGACTTACAGGACCAATGCAGACCATACACCCTTCAGGTCATCTTCATATTATTGTCTTATTATTTTCTGATTCTAAGAACTTGAAGTATAAGCTCATCTCTTAATGCCACAGTTTCTTTCCCTGTTTTTTCCCTAAAATGCCACAAATTTAAAGTATTTATTGGAACAACCTTTTCATCACATCCTGCCACATTTTTTAATACATACACCGCCTGCTGTCGTCACCTGTGAGTGCAGGTGTTTCTGCCCTGGAGCTGAGCATCACACCAGTTAATTAACACCACAGCAGTGAGTGTCATGTGGACAGAAAACTGCTGCTGTCGGCAAATTAGGAACTTTCTCAACTCAGTTTAAAAACAAGGGATTGTAACACAGCATTTCTAAACACTGGGGCAGGGAAAGTTAGTGCTCCTGCCATACAGCAAGCAAACATTCACACCTGACAAATGTGAGTGTCTCCTGACCACCACTGGGATTAGCTCAAGATTAAAGTCTCTATGAAACCAAATCTATTTCAAAATCATGTATGTATATACATATACATGCATAAACACAAGTTTTTGCTTCAATTTGTTAATAAAAAAAAATCACAAAGTGATTTGGGTGGAGACTGCTGCCCCCGTTAATGGATAAGTGGATGGAAATAGCTGGATACATACATACATACATACATATATATATATATATATATATATATATATATATATATATGGTTTACTATATACCACCTGACCATGAAGGCTAAAGTTGTACAGATTTATTCATTTTTTATACAAAAATATCTTACATTAGAAAACACGGCATAAAATATACACAGTCCAATTGGCAATGCGACAAGTGTAGAACCTTTTCTTTAACTCAATTATATGAAGTCTATGTCTTTACAACGAGAATAAATCCAGGCGCCCTGCGGTGAGACACTGGTCTTCAGAAAGAACTGGTCCAACAGTCACAGAAAGGCTCACACAGACCTGATCGAAGCCAAGTAAAAGAAATTAACATCAACTTCTTCAAAGTTCGACACAATAACACAACTGAAGCACAGAAAGAGCAGGGGAATGGTTCTAACCCAGAGGTGAACATAATCAAACCATGACAATGTCGTCATAGTCTGGCTGGGAAATTTAGGCAAAGAAAATGAAGAAAAAAAAAAATCTGCCTACTCATCCGTGAATGTCTGGTCCTGTCACAGTAAGAAGTTTTCACACTGTCTGCAGGTGTCGGAGCCAAGACAGTCAGGTTCTTCACAAGCACTTGAGATGAGTTGGTTCCTAACTTTGTTGAAAAGTGTAGTGGAAATGTATATAGCCTCAGGTCAATTGAAAGGTCAGCAGTAGAAATACTGTCGCCCCAAAAATGAGCTCCGTAATTCTGGATAGATTTCTAATTTCTGGAGCTCACAGCAGGTGTGGAAGGAAACGGTGGGGACTGACAAGTTATGGAATAAAATGATGATTTAGTTTTATGGGTTAAATGCAAAGGACAAATTAGTTCTGTATATATTTCTCTGTGTATGTACAGTGAGCAGTAAACCTTCTTTATTTGGCCGACAATAAACCACTCATCCACAGATTGACGAAACCAACCAAGAACAGGGAAAGGAGCGATTTTGATAAACCTTACCTCTTGATACCCCCAAAGTACCAACAGATACCAGATCTGGATCAGAACAGTCTAGTAATGTGAAGGCTTATCAAAAGCAGTTTTAGGTATCAACATTGGTTTAAAATGATAATTTATTTTTGCTCTATTTTTTGTTTATTTTTGAGGACTGGGTTAAAGACAGTCCTCAGACACCACTGGAACTATATCTGTCTTTAACCTGTCTTTTTACATTACTGCCATATTCTTGGCCTCTGAACTGTTTTTATTTACTACTGAGCATCATGTTTTTACATTTTTTAGACTTTTGACTCGAGCTCCCTGACTTATTGAATGTAAATTTTTAGGCATCTTCTGGGAAAAAAAACGACGTTTTCTGTAACAAATGCTTTAACACTCGCAATTGTCAACAACATTTTTTCTTGCAATTTTATAAACTCTTACCAAAAATGTTAGAATTCCTTTTTGACCAACCTCAACAGTCTGGATTATTTTCTTTAATGTTTTTGCTAAATTGTCTTTAAAAAATCTGTTTGGCGGTAATTGAAAACTTCTACAGAACATTTCATCACATAGAAGGCCTTTTGTTCAAACCATAAATAAAAAAATGTTGTTTTCTTCCTCAGTGGTAAACGACACTAACAAAGTGTTATTCACTTCTTTTGTGTTGTTACAGACGCAAAAAAATCCACTGTGAAAATAGAACCACCTCTTTATGTCAGATAACAGCGGAGGTTAAGTGTTATAATATGTTTAATCTCTAACTACAATAGTTTTAGTTGAATAAAGAGCAGCCGTCAGTGTGTGTAGGCATCTCGTTGACCTTTGCCCTTTGATGAGCAATAATCAATACTGTTTTCCTGGCAAGGAAAAAGCAGTTTGACCAAAACTGTGTTAATCCTTGTGAGTGGGCTGTAGCCTGGGGGCTTGGATGGATGGAAGGGGAGGGGGAGATCTATCATCAGAGGCATGATAAATAAATATCAAATGATATAGAATAAAAAGAACCAGAAAGACTATATTCCACTTGTTAGTTTGGCTCAGTGCCCACTGGCCCCCCTGCTCCCACACTATGACATCATAGCAGTTCAGAGTGGAGGGCCAGCCGGAGCGTCCAGAGAGGGGGCAGCAGCCACAGTGGCGATGGCGATGGGCGAGCGCCCAGAGGTGAAGCGGTGTCGGAGGTGCAGGAGCAAACTTCGTACCCGTTCTCCGCGTGGTCGGGGTGAAGGTGAACGTTGACCCTCGTCTCTGTTATTTTGAGCTCTGTGTCTGGAGAGTCTGACTGCATCTCCGTGCACAGGAGCCAGTCTTTGGCGATGAGGCGGGGGTATCCTGGCTCCACCTCCATGCCACTGCCAGGTACTCGCCAGTACTCCTTACCCTTGAAGAAGTAGGAGGAGCCTACACGGAGAAGAGTGGAGGGAGAGAATGGTCTTATCATGGTGTCTGCACGGTTTTTGAAATAAAAAAAATAAAAAATCTCTTAGTTGTAAATTAGTTTGGTAATTTAATCAAAATTGAATTGCATTAAATGTTAATGGGTATTAAGCTATTTGGTAACAGTTTATAGATATGAGGTAATTCCTCAGATAATTTTCAGTAAATCCACTAAAATCTGTCTTAAAAATTTTTGTTTGGTTGTAAGTTTTACCCATTTCTTTCACTAGCACCATAGTATTTTGGTTATTTTTTATTTATTTTTACTTATTTGTACCTTCCTTAATCATAGTTTGTATTGTTGTAAAAAAAGAATCATACCAAAAAACGAAAATGAATGAATAAGGAGGAGAATCAGTCAGTCCCAGCAGTCATCAGCAGGGGGCGTAAAGACACCCTGGACAGGGCTCCCAGTCATTCACAGAGACACGACAAGCAACCATTCACACCCACATTTCATTTTCAGTTCTCAGAGCGTAATTATATTTAATTCTTAGCTTTCTCTCTGTAACCTTCTTGCTGCGCATGCAAGCGCATGAACCTCTCCTCCACCATGTGGCCCAAATGAAATATTCTGTTCAGGGATGAACAGAATTAGGAATAACCAAATCATGTTGTTTACACTGTGTTCTGTGGTATTGATATTAGGAACAGTATTATCTTCACACTCATCTCAAATAACTGAGCAGCAACACGTGCCACACTCTGGGTCTTAATTTCGTGAACCACTGATCCAGAGAAGAACCTGTATTTGTTTAGCATATTTACACTGCTGCTGCTATTTTTTTAACCCCGCCGGTTTGAAGTTCATTATATTTCCTAATGTATTTCCCATTCTCTGATAATAGGAACAAAAAAAAAAAAGTAAAAATAAATGAACCAAAAATAGATAAACAATGAAAAATCAAACAAAAATGACACAAAACAATATACTGTAGCTTAATGTTAGCAAAAAAATAATGCCAGAAATATGTGAATGTGATTCATGTAGTGTTCGAAATGATATAATAACTTAACAAATAAAGGCAACAGTACCTCAGCACGAACATATTCTGCTACTTTTATCCAAATAATATGATTCCTTGATGTGTAAATGAAATGTTATTTCAAGGCCAAAACCAAATAACAGTGACTTTAAATCAGAGTAAAACAAATGCTTAGAAGAGCAAATAAATCCAATTCGGCAATGAGTTTGAGCCATAAAACAAACAATGCACAATAAGTTAGCCAAACATACACTAAAGGTTAGCCAAACGTACACTAAGGGTTAGCCAAACATACACTAAGGGTTAGCCAAACGTACACTAAGGGTTAGCCAAACATACACTAAGGGTTAGCCAAACATGCACTAAAGGTTAGCAAAACATACACTAAAGGTTAGCTAAACGTACACTAAAGGTTAGCCAAACATGCACTCAAGGTTAGCCAAACGTACACTAAAAGTTAGCTAGTTGTACACTGAAGGTTAGCCAAACACACACTAAAGGTTAGCCAACCATACAGTGAGGTTTAGCCAGACATACAGTTAAAGGTTACCAGATCTAAAAAAAAAGAAGAAAATTTCCACATGAATAAAAAATATAAAAATTGTACGTTGGAAAGATAAAGCTAGGAATAATTTTAATAATGATTAAAAAAAGCACCAAAATAGTGTTGTTCAAAAAATCTGGACTAAAATGTTATTGAGGAAAACATCTTATAAATATACATGAATTTGTTAAGTAAATTAAAATTATTTATAAATGAATTAATAACATTATAAATAAAATTATAATTTATAATTAAAATAAATAATTTAAATATTATTTATAAAACATAAATAAATAAACTGTTACATAAACAATTTCATCTGACAAATGTTTCATGTTTTTTCCAACCAGAATCAGTTTCTTTTTGTATTCTTTGTATAAATATATATGTGGAAACAGTGGAGTGGATCCTGCGACTAGCTCACTACACAAACAGCTTCATGTGTAATGTGTGTCTGCTCAATAAGTAGAAGGATAAAATTCATGCCTGAGGAATTCCATTTCCCTCTTCATGACTACGAGCCTGAACTTCCTGTGTGTAGTCAGCGGCTAAGATTAGCAGCACAATAACTCCCTTTATGTCTTCTTCTCTCCACAGCCACAGCTCACACTTGTCTCCCTGTGATTTCTCTACTAGCCCTCAGGACGTCAGGACATCCATCCTTCATCATCTTCACTTCGTCACCATCCTTTCTCCTCAGGTGCTCTCCAGATTCACCATGTCTTATCTTCTCCTCTGTTTCACAGAGGTATGTCAGACTCTCTTCTCCCTGCTTCCTGCTGTCGCACCCATCTTTGGCCCTCCCTCCATTCCGTCTTTCTCCAAGTTGATCTTGACAATAAAGGAGTAGGAACCAGCTTTGATGTGACTCCAGTTCCCAGGCTCTGTGTGTAGTTTTTCCAAGGTTTTACTCCTTGCAGGCTCTGTGGTGATTATAGTCCAGGGTGAAGCAGAGTTTAAGACCCATCCTGACACACACACACACACTTTTACATTCACATCCACAATAACACACACACACACACACGTGGAAACAAACATCAAAGAGGTGGGAGCAGGACCTCTGAGTGTACAAGCAGAGACGACAGAAGACCGACCATGGAACGCCTGACGGGGAAAGCGCTTCCTTGTATTCACTTGCTGCGGGGGGGATTAGGAACATCCTGGCTCCCACTGGTCGTCAGCTCCTGAATCAGGATCCAGCAGGAGTTCTTTTAAAGTGTATTTTTAAAAGCTTCAGATCTCCTTCACACCTGGTGTCAACATTAACAACTGACCTGGAGCCTTTTTCAGTGACGTCACTGTTTTTTGTTTTGATTAATCTTATTCTAAAACCACAAATAAACACTGGCAGCTGCTGAGGTTTTTTTTCACAGGTGTGAAATAAAAAACTAAGGGTGGTACACAAAAACAGTCCCCCTGGTGGTTTAGCCATGTTTAGACCAGCCCCTGGTCATGTCCTTCCTCCTTTAACCTTACCAACAATCTCTTCCTATAGTTTCACAGGAAAATTGAATACACCTGCTATATTCAATTACTTTTTCCACTAACAAGGAAAAAGTATTTTCTCTTAAAAGTCGGTAGGTTCACAAGCAAATTGTCGAGGCCTTCCTGGTCAACTTCAGAGGTAACACAGCTGCTTAGTAATCGGACTAGGGTAAGTTACTCTTTAGGGTATATTGGAATAAACTTGCTATTAAGGGAACATGTTACATTGCGCTAGCAGTTATGTTTTGAGCACATTATGTGGCACTAAAGTTTAGAAAAACTGTTGTATTAAAGGGAAATCTAAGGAATGGATCTACAGTCAAGAACTTAGTGATTTTACAAATCAGAAAAGAGTTTGACACAATTTTACTAAAAAACTAAAGTAGATGACACAGAGCACCCCCCTCTTTCTTACTCTTTACTCTCTCGGTAATCCTTAGATGTGCACCCTCTCTGCCTTGCCTGCGCCTGTTTGCTTTATTCAAACTCTGGGGCTTCTTATTTTGTGGGAGACTCCTTTGAGGAGTTTCTGATCAAATATTTGCTGAGGAATTATAAAAATATTCTTCAGAATACCAGGTTACAAATCAGTTCGGCCTAACTACTTGGGAACTACTAGGAATGCTTCAATCTGATATTTGGGATCGTTCTTTTTTTGATTACACTCACCATCCGACCACCTCATGGCGTCGTCCAGCTGTGACGGCAGCCCCTTCCACAGCGTGCTGTCTTTAGGGTACCCCTGGTCCATGTGTCTCAGATGGTCGTCGTAGCGCCAGTACTGGTTGTCCTTGAAGAAGTAAGTTTTGTCGTTGTGTAACCAAACAAAAGCTGCGTCCACTCCCTCCGAGGGTAAACCAAAGTCAGTGATTTGACGAGGGTAACCCTCCTCCACGATGTTGTCTTTAAAGACCCAGTACTTCAGACCTGGGGAAGGGGGATTCAGAACATTGGTCTCACCCTCTACATTTTTATGACTCAGAAATGTTGGAGCCCTTCAGATGAGGCGTTTGAATGAATAATGTGAATAATGAATAAAATAAATAAAATTAAGAAACTACTCCAAATGTACCTTTGAAAAAAACTATTTTGTGGTCACCAGGCCTCTCATACACAGCGTCCACGCTGTCCAGATTTTTTGGGAGGCCCCTCCAGAAACGGTGGATCTGTGCTGGCCGCAGAGACACCAGGTGCTTCTCCCGAGTTAGCCTCCAAAAATACTTTCCTGTAGGCAAAAGACATTGGAGATGTGTTTAACATATGTTTAAAAATGGCACTGAAACATTTTCACTGAAACATGGTCAGCCTTATCACAGACTGGTAAACAGAGTACACGTGCCCCTCCCACTCATTCCTCCAGCAGCAGGGGCTGTGAATGATGTTCAAATGGCTCCTCACCAGGCGTTACACTTCTTGCCAAAAACAGATATTGGGCTTTTTTGAACTTGAAATTTAAAATCATTTGTCAAAAAAAAAAGAGACAAAGACCTCGGAGCCAACAGTTGATCACAACATTAAACAGACCCTAAGAGGCTGCTTTCACTAGATTATATAACACCTGAGCTGTGGGGCTGTACACTTCTGACAAGAAAAACAAAAAAATATAAATCACAATATTTTGACTTATGAATTACAACATTTGGGTCTCCTGGTCCTGAGTGGATGCTTCACACGCCCTCACCCCTTCCTTCTTACTGTTTAACTTTAAGTAGCTGCCTGGAGCAATTAAAAAGAACAGAAAAATGAAAACACAAGCAGACGGCAGCAGATGAACACACCATCATACACTTGGTCCAATTAAAATGGCATATTATATACGTATTACATTAGTACTACACTCTACTTATGATGTCTTTATGGAGAATCAATGGCATGGAAATGACAAAGTGACAGCTTTATATCTTTGAAGTCAAGTCTTATTCAGTGGATACAACAGTCAGAGAATCTTTAACTTATTATTTTGTTCAGACTTTTCTATAAACTGCTGCTAAAAAGCTCCATAAATCTTCAACGCCACATCATTCGATTGAAATGAAAAACTAAATGGTTTGTAAAAAATACTGTTAAGTTCTGCACCGTTGAACACACTCCACTGAGGGTTTGTGGGTGTGCTTTTTGTTCTCAGGGTGAGGTTTTTGGGTGATGTCTCCAGAGGATAGACTTTAAAAGTCTGATGTAGCGCCTGGCCTCCTGTCTTTTAGAAGTTCAACTGCCTCAGTTGGCTACATCCACCCCTGGCCCGCTTTTCTTCATCCTCACCGTCTTCTTCTTTTACCATCACATTCACTCTATTTTACTTCCCCTAGTTTCAGATCTTTTTTTTTTTTTCCCACGATGCTTCGCAGCTCTGTGCCTGTCTTCCACCCCCCCTGAGCCGTGGTACCTTTGAAAAAGAAAGCCTCTCCTCGTATCTGGGCCACTGCATCAAAGTGACTGGAGCATCTGTCTGGGGCGTCCAGAGCCAGCCTGGGAGACAGAAGAAAGGTTGAAAAAAAGGTAACTCCTAAGGTCCTAAATTGGACTGTGACCACGGTGTAGAATCTTCACAATGCTGTTACTTAACATACAGAGACATTAAAGTCACATATGAAAATAAAAAGAATACAGACACATTTTCTGAATTTTAACAGTAATGTATTGTTGGGCTTAAATAGAAAAATTACAGTTATGAATAATTACAATTATTTTGAGGCACTTTGTATCATTATAAGATCATTATAATATTGTTATAGGTTTTATAGAGTATTTTTCTACATAGCCATTTAACTCTTGACATTGTGGCTAACAATGTCATGTCTTTCCTAACATTGAGCTATTTCTTTTCGTTTTCAATTGGGCTGTCAAGATTTTTGCCTAACCGTTACTTATTCTTAGGATGTCTTTGTTTTTTTGTTTTTATTTCTGCTCTATATTCATTAGCAACGCTAATGTGCTACAATTTTAGCTAACATGCTCTCTCTTTCGAAATATAATCTTTTTTTTGGAAAACGGCATTGGCAAATTTAGCTGTTTTGCTATTTCTGGGTCATCTTATAGTGTACACAGAACTTTAATTGATTTAAATTAGAGATAAGATTTAGCTAACACACAATGTCTTGTTTCATTTATAATCTGCTTTTGAGAACAACATTTTATTAAAAGTCAAGAAATAGGTGCCAGTTATGGCTTAGGCATTTAGCTTAGGCTATCATTAGGTCAAGTTCTCCCCAGTTTTTGACAAAATTTGTCTCAAAAAATGTGCTGTATCGCTGTGCTGAACCCAGAGGAAAGTGAAGGGGGGTCCTTAACCAATGTGGGAGTTCCATTCCCAAGGTGCAATGCAACTGGAGTTTTGCCGTAAGTTGTAGCTCACATACTGTACATAAGTACCTGTGTGACTCACATACACTAACACAGGAGAGTTAAACCTGAGAGCCATTATGAAGGGGATAAAAGTCCTCGAAAAACAACACAAACAAAAGAGATCAAATGTAGCACAATCCAATGTATGGTGAACAAACAGTGAATGTAAACAACGTCTTTCGCCTACAGTGCCTTGCTGTACATTGGAAAATTGGAGCAAGACTTTCATTAAAAAATTATGGCAGATGGTGACGTAACCACAAGGACGTTGTAAACCAAGACCTCCTGTAATGTTCTTTTAAATATAAATATAGAATACAGTAGCATTAAAAGTCTAAAACATGTTTTTAAGAACCGTTCACCTTACTGACCCAAGATGACAACATCATCTGCACCGCCTGATTTCCTATGAACTAAAAACCAGGCTTTTCAAACACCAAGGTGTGTGTGTGTGTGTGCACACATTCGTTCCCTCGATTTATGACTGATTTAAAGCAGGATGGGACCAGACTGCCAATGATGACTCCATTAGCACCGTGAAGCCGTGAGAGCATGGGAGCCTGCCAGTCTTTATGTTAGCAACAAAGGTATCTATTCAGAGCTCTATTAACACTACTCTACTGCTTAGCGGTTAGCGTCGCTACTTTTGTCAGAGCTAATCCAGCTTTTTCACACATCACCACCTGATGGAGTCAATGGGAAATGACTAATGAAGTCAGACCAAGTGTGAATCATGGGAATAAGAGATGGTTTAAAAAAAAAAAATTCCATCACTGCCTGATGTGGCAGCTGCAGTGAAAATGTCGCTTCAGTGTATTGTTTCCTGAAGGAAATCTGAGAATGAAGACATTTTTGCCAAGTGTTAATAGACCTCCTGGGTCTTATAATCTGTGTCTGTGTGTTTATGTAAATTCAAAATACATGAATGGAGAAAATTAAGGGTGGAAAAAAAAAGAAAGAAAAAATAAAACTACAGGCTAATAGCCGGCCTTATCACCCTAGGGAATTAGCTAATTAGACGGGCAGACTGCAAAAGTCTGAGTTAATTTGCACTGTTGGCACCTCGTAATTTCATATCAAGGTCCAAATAAACTCTCTCTTCGAACAGAAATAGTTACTTTGCCTGCCTTTATTTATTTGATTGCGTTGTTTTGCATTGTTTTTCCTTAGAAAAAAAATAAGAAATAAGAAAACTAAAACTATCATGACATAATTAGGCTGATGTACAGGGAACGATCAGGAAAAATAGAATCCCGTCTATAAACAGATCCATTACAGTTTCCTCTGCAATAAATAGCAGCTGTGTGAGAGCTATTAAAATTTCACTGATCTTATGGATGCTGCTAAACTTTTAATGCCAGTTTTGCTGCATTTTTATGACCGTCGTGCCTAATTACTAAATATATGTGAAGGAGCAGAATTAACAGCAGATTTATGGAGCAGCAATGTGCTCTAATGAGATGCAAACAGCTGTGGAGGAAGATTATTGGGACAAGAATTCACCGACGGATGCGGTTTATATTTAACATCATAATGTGATATTTACAATGCATTTAATGTAGTTTGGAACACATTTTATTTGACCCTGCAGCCCAGTAAATTATAAATCCCTGCGCAAATAAGATACTTTTCAATAAATACCCAATGTGTCTTGGTTGTGTTTGACGGATGCTGTCCATCTGGGGATCATTTACTCACAGGAAGGTGGATCTGTTTTCAGGGAGGTCCAACAAGACGGGAGGCTCAGCAGTCTGAGAGGAGCTGATTGGTCGGTTTGTGTGGGACACTGAGTCTCTGACACCTGGAATGACAATGACATGAGACTTCAGTAAATTTACCGACTGTTGATATCATTCTGACAAACAGGTATGGAAACAATAACAAATATGTTAAATAAATAAATAAATAAAGTTATTTACATGTTAACAGATACAGTAAGTCGTTCCAGGGTTGTTGATGAGGTGTTTAGGTTTAGTTGGGATTAAAGTTACTTTGCTTTCAAAGTAGTAATAGTAGTAGTAAAAATTACGTTCATGGTATTTAGTTGAGACAAAATAAAAAACACAAAAAAGCTTTACTTTTAAATGAAATACTCAATTAGCTTCATTGTTAAAAGGAAACTAGAATGGCCACTTATTTAGCCACACATATTTAGCTGCGTAATGATAGTAAACTGAGGCTAGTTTTTATACAATCTGCTCAATTACTGTTCTCCACCACTAGTGGCCCCCACAAACTGTGAAACAGCTTCACATCAGTGACAGTGATGAACAGACACAGGAAAGTCTGGAAAAGAAAGTTTAAAGCTAAGCACTATCATTTCAATTTGCACTTTGGGATGATAAAAATTCAAATAGTTTATGTGGTATTACAGGACACTGAGGTTTGATACTTTCTCCAATAATGTCTGCAGCTCACGTATTTACCAATCATTGTTCATATACTTGTCATTCTCTATGCTGTCCTGGATACAGGACGTGAAAAGGTCGACTGTCACAATGAAGTGAACTCCATCCATGGTTTTAATAAATTCAATACCTGGCTACACATATTAGAAGACCTTGGCCTCATAAATATTCTCTACTGCAGCCAGTTTCCAGTGGGAAAAAAACAGAGCTTCCAGCGACATGTGTGGAAACATGAATGTGTGTTTCTACTGAACTGAAGAGACACTGAGGATAATGGTAAAAAGGAAACGGAAATAATGGGAGAAATAATAGATCCTACATGTAAATTCCTGTGACTACATTCACATATAGATGTGTATGTGGTGCAGGTCCCGTCGTACCGTACAGCTGCCAGACTCGGACCTTGTCTTCATAGGGCAGGTCGTATTTCAGAGGGTCTCCTACAGGACCCTGGTAATACGGTCTCATAATGGACTCCATGGCTGAGGTGTGGACCAAGCCGATGGCGTGGCCAAACTCATGGACTGCAACAGCAAACAGATCCATTCCATTGGATTCTGAGGAAGACCAAAAAAAAAAAACTATTAAGGCAGAGATCAATGAATTCTTACAGCACTGTTTATGTTTTATTTAAAATATGGAATAATCTGCTTATTTGATAGATGAGAATGCTCACACCAGAAACACAGGCGATGATACCATACACTTTATTTAACGTTTTTATTGGTAGGAAATAAAATAAAAATCAGCTTTTTAAGAGCAGCTGCCGTAGTACCTCTGGGCACATGATTTATTCATTGTTCTCACTTTAACAACAGACACGTACTGTAGTGACCTTGGCTAAAGTAAACAGCAAATGTTAAAAACATTACCCGCTCCACTGCAGCCTAAGACGGACAATAAATCCCAGGTAACCATAAAGCCATGAGTCAGAGTTTAACTGAGAATGACTGATGTGTTCAATCAGTCATCAATGTTTTTATTTGTAAAATTGCACTAAATAAAAACTGCTTCATGTATGTATGAGGACGAGAGAGTGTGAAGATTATGAGGGGAGGAAAAGGTTGAGAGCAATAAAGGAGTTTAAAACAAGTTACTGCAGTTGTGTTTCAACAAAAGTTCTCCACAGCTCTGAAGCATCTGCCCGGTCCAGGGCTTTGCACTATTTTAACACATCACATATAATTTGGCAAAACCCAGACATTGCGTTGTCAGGTTTTCAATATTAGAGGAAAAACCAATAACGATTCTTACAGAAATTACATAATTCGCCACCACTGATATTATGACTTCCCTATCAAAAAGCAGTTGGCCGGTGACAGTATTTCGGAGACAATAATTTATAGCTTTATTCTTTATTCAGTTGTGTTTATCTTTTTTGTTAGATCTAACTATTTTCATTGGTGTCTTGTATGAACCTGTACAAGAAATACCGTTGAAAAAGTTTGGATTTGCAATCATCCAGGGTCCAGGAACAGATTAATCAATTTTATAGTGATTCCTATGGGGAAAATTGTTTTAGTTTTCAAACTTTTTGGTTCACGAAAGGTCTTCAGGGGCGAATTAAGTTAAAAAACTGAGGTTCCTCTGTATCTAGGAGAATTACCAAGAACTAGTACAAAAAAAAGAAAAAAAAACTGTGCTCAATGTAAACTATAGGTACATATAAATATAAACAGTTTAAAGTGACAGTTTCTTAGCAAAGATGTTTAAGTAACTGAATGTAAACAGAAATACATAAATAATAGAAATAATAGGACCATAAGAATAAGAATAATTAGCAGCAGCGTTTGAAATATTGCAGAGGCTCAGTTTAGTTTAGGGGTGAGGGTTCAGTTGAAGGATGGGTTAGGGTTAGACATTAGGGTGAGGTTTGGGTTATGGTAGGACTACTGTAAAATTTAGCTTAGCTTAGTTAATTTTAGCTAATCTTAAGTACGATAAATATTGGGTAACAAGTCCTTACAAAAATAACAGGGACATTTCCATGTTTTGCTCATTTCTATCTAAATGATTACAAATAAAAGAATAGGGTCCACTTTGAAAAACAGTATATTCATGTGCCATTAGTGATCCCTAAGCCTTACGTTTTGATAAACCCATGTTACTTTGAAATGCTTAATGTTTATGTTCGTGATCTATCGGTGGATTACACTCTCTAACCTCTCAGCTCTACGGTAAGTGTCAGCTCTTAAATGAGCCAGTGAAAATCCTGTGTTCAGGTATTTCATTCTCTTTCTCCAACCCATCTGCTTATGATGCAAATTAAAGACCTGACAGACAGACAGCATCGTCAGAGGCTTTGAGCGCTGTTAGGCATGTGGTGTGTTGAGATAACTGCACTAAACTGCCTGAGTCCATGGGCTGTCAATCAAACCTGGAGAGTCTAAGGACACCTAAAGAGCCTGCAGGCTCATAAAACACATTTCCACTCCTTTTTCAGGTGGAGAAAAAAAGTTAAATTAAAGGGGAAACACAGTCACCAGTTCCTCGTCTAGTCTGGTTTCTGCCAACTAAAACAAAAGCCGGAGCTTTGAGATTTCGATTTGTCTACGATCTGGCACGTCCAGTCAGACTAGCCTTGAGTTCCTCAGTGGCTAAGCTGGAGTCAGGATTCAGTTAACCTTACGTGGTTCTAATCCATGCTTGCAGTGGCCACCTGAGGTACGGAGAACGCAAATGCCAAGTCTAATCTGCAGGAGCACATGGTGCAGGGAGGAGTGTTGAACAAAAGGAAGGAGAGAGAATGAGTGAGAAGAGAGCACGCACCGTGTCATCGTTTTTACACTCCATATGAGGCAGACAAAATCTGACGTTACGCCTGCAGACAGAGTTGGAGCAGAGAGAATCGAGTGGATTAGACTGTATTGGCTTAAGACGGCAGACGCTGAAGGAAATGGAGTCAAATTATAAAGCTTACCAGACTATTTTGTGTTTTGGGTTTAACATTTGTCATGCTGGATCCACCCGTGTGTTACCAAAAGTCCATTGTGTTAGACTAAGGTGAAAGCTACTATTAACGGCACTTTCTTGTAGACAGAAAATGAATAAAACGATTTTAGTAAGTTTTACTACTGGAGCACATTTACCTTCAAGGTATGAATCATTGTTTTCATTACCTTCGAGTATTTTCTGATGTCAGAAGAGGGTTGTCATACTTGAACCATATTATTTTTCACCAGCAGATAATATAGGGGTATATAATAATAAAGGGGTCCTCAGTTTACAACGTCCTCGACCTACATCACTTCACAGTCACGCTAATATAAATATATTATGACCGTCTTCATAAGTCTTCTGCTATATGCAGAAGACGTCTTTGTTTACATTCGCCACTACATTGGATTGTGCTACATTTGCTTTCTTGTGTTTTGCTTTCTTTAGCCCTTCAATTACGGCTACCAAATAGGCTTGTCACAATTTCAGAATTTCAGTAGTTGATACCAGTAATATACTGTGATACTGTGAAGATTCCTACTTTTGTAGTATCACGATAAAAAAATAAAATAAAAAAATCCGAACCAGTGTTCTTTAAATGCAAAACTCTTTTTTTTTGTAGCTTTTTGTATAGAATTTAACTTGTAGTACCAGCTGCTAAAAAGAAAACTGTACATTCAAAGTATATAAAGTATACAAAAAACAAATACAATACTGTGTTTATAAATATATTCATAACAACAATGGTCAACTATTTACATTCAAAAAACAACAGCAATGATGTGGAGCCCTCAAGTATATAAATAATAAAATATCGTTTAGATAATAATATGCTAAAATATAAGAAAAACAACTATCAACTATTTTACACATAAAACAAACATTCTCTGATGTTTGGCTGTTAGTGTTTGACTCTCCTCCTATTTTAGTTAAAATAACATAAGCTTACAGAAAGATAGAATTTCATAATGCCACGTTACATGTCGGCATTGTTACATTATTATATTCCTATATTAAGTATGAAACACCCAGTGGAAATGAAACAGCTTCAGTAGTGTGTAGTGTCAGTTTATGTTTTTTTTCTGTTGGGATTTCATACAAACTGCATATAAAAGTAAAAGAGTTTTATGGTCATTGTGATACAGCACACCGCTCCACACAGTGAGATGTGACCTCTGCTTTTAACCCGTCACCTGAGTGAACGGGGGGGCAGTCCACTTCCTTAACCACCAAGACACCACTGGCCTGTAAGGGAGAGTTTTCGGTGTACAGTTAAAGACAGGAACGTCTCATGTTCGCAGCAACAGAATAATGTCTGGAACTGAGGGGACAGGAAGAATCCTGCTGTGTTCTAATCTGGACAGCATCCTGAGACTTGGTCAAAGAGCCTGAAGGTTGGCATTGAGGAGTGTAAATTTAATAAAATTCATTCAATTTCCTTTCCATTAGGGAGGCCTGTTAACTCAACAGCCTAAATTACAAGAAAATAATTCAGTGTTTCCTCTGATAACCTAAATTGTATTTAATGAGATCAAACCAATTTGATGACTTTTCTCCTGAAACTGCACATAGTACATTAAGGAAGTGTGAGCAGATCACACTGGTAAGTTTCTGTTTCTCAACAATCAGATTAACTGGGAGAAGGTTTGGCCATGAATTTAACATCCACCGATGGCACATTTTACAGTTACTACTACTGTAGTAAATCATGAGAAATCTGTGAGTGCAAAGGCCAAATATTGATGCTGATGCTTGCTGTTCATAACCACTGAGCCCTTAGGCTGTACAGCAGGAGAACCCATCATTCCACAGTAATTCACACAACTATACATTAGATGATGGCTCGATCCGATACTCAGCGTCAGTATCAATCTGATATTGGTTAAATTTCAGGGCTGAACATATATATATATAAAAATCAACTATAGCTCATTTGCACACTCACCCGCTCCTCAATTCATGTGTATTACCCTATCCACCTCGAGATGGGGGTTCAATTCCAAATTTAGTCATTTGGTTGCAGAGTCATAAAAACTGCTCCAGGTTTTGCCCCCACATGTACACAAAAACCTCAACCTTCTAATCCACATTCCTTTTACCATCCCACAAAGTCCCTCATATGTTTATTTCCCACTCGATGCCGTCTATTCAGTGCAGCGCTCCTCCATAAGAAAACAGACAAATTCCTGGATCTCACATGCATTCTCGCCATGTCGATGACGTGACAACGTCAGGTAAACAATCGTGCAAAATTCTCTAAATGGGACCCTGAGTGAATAGTAAAGCCCTTCACTGTTAACAAAAATCGCATTTGCTGTCCTTTAATTCATTTAACTCAATGTTTCCCAAAGACTGGGTCGTGCCCCTCAGGTGGGTCGCGCATTAACTAATTCAGTCGATTCAGGATTGATCGTGTGAACGGTATTAGATTCTGTCACAATTTTGTTACAGATGAGAATGGAATTTTGTTCCACTCCGTTACCATGGTTATCCTTAACGCAACACATATACAAAAAATGTTTTGTGCATGCACATATTTGTACTAAAGGTCATTTATGAAATAGTTCAGTATGATTACCTGATCGGTCAAAGCCTAAATATTTATATAAAACTTCAGTGC